TTAAAAACTGAATCTAGAAATGTATGTTTAAAGAAAAAATAAGAGGCACTATAATGTTGCATTACTGGCACCTTACCATATAGTGAAAAAATATTTTGACTATAGTTTCTTAGTGGACAGGCCTCAGCAGATAATTGTTTCATATTTGATATCAGGACACTTAGTGTAGCAAACCCATACAATATCAGCCTTCAACTCGGATACACACTTCGGGACCTTCCCTCGTAAGCCACAAATGATAAATAGTAAGCTACCTACAACTCAGCGAGCTCTATCCAACGATAACAAAAGATCCCCAAAAAACTCTACTCTGTTCTCAAAAAAACCAAAATCCTCCAAATAACCCATAGTATGACACTAGCGTTTTTCTTCAAACTTATGACGATTCACTTGAGTGCATAAGCCTTCAGTAAAAACTACATCATTCGATGCAGAATTTCAAGCTCTATCGATTGATATATAAATCAGATCCATAACAAACTCTACAAATGCCTCGAGCCACCAAAACCCTCCCAAACCATATTTTCAATAATAATACTAATGATGATTCGCCTCACAACTTAAGCCACTTCTCAAAAGCACACCAATCGATGCAGAATTTCAAGCTCTATCGGATGGTTTATGCCTGGTTTATGCCAGTCGCCGACGAATGATATACCCATCGAAGGAGAATTTCAAGTTTTATCGAATGGTGTATACCCTGCACACGTCATCTCAAATATAATCTGAATTCGGTACATAAAACTTTGAAAAACATTACGATAGTGAGTATTTCCGTTAGGTGTTCACTATGACTATTTGTTAAGGTAGATAAGATGCTGACGAATCGTACGCGGATCGATGCAATATCTGATGATCTAGGTAAATGTGTTTGCCGTCCCGTCCAAACCTTTAATATGATTGCGGTCTTCGCGATAGAAGCATTGGAAATGGTAGTGTAGAATGCATCTCGACTAAGTCCTTGCTCAGAAAGATTGGTTCAAATTGGTATATGCGCCCTAGCGATTTTATTGGATATTAATATGAAATAGATTCTCTCCCTTTTATTTCATCTGATTATTTATTATTCCACAGAAGGAGAAAATTAGGTACCAAAAAAGGGAACTGGCTCATTTTACTGGAAACAGAACATATAGTCGCAGAGAAAATCATGCGTGTCGTATAGCGCGGAACGTTTTCAGATTTAGTATTTGCTGTTACCAATGTATCTCCACGAATCGTCACGGCGAATACGGACCCCTATTACGCACAAGACAAATGATTTCAGAAGTTTTATCTATGAATCTCATATTATATTGGTCATGATGTGTGCAACGCACACACCATTCGATAGAGAGTGAAATTCTGCATCGATTGGTATATGATTCGTCAGTGGCTTATGTCCTTGAACGAATAGCCATGCAGAATACCTACCGAACTGCTCAGTATAGTGAGATTTTTCATAGTTTTACCTAAGACTATTTACCTAAGACCTACATCTTTAGTAGAGTATTGGCGTGAGCATGTTCTTATCTCATCACTTGGTCAACGGAAGAAGTTCCTACTTATCTCGCACTGTTGGGCAGGACAGGTAGACGGAAAGGGGCTATACGATCACATTCCCGGATGTACAAGACTTGAAGTACCGAAAAAAACGACAGATCAAAATTCAATCACTGGATGTCTTTTTCAATAGGCAAATGAAAGTGATTTCTCGTCGGCTATAGGATCGTGCTACTTGATGAATGTGATATTAATATTAGCGAACGTAGTAATATCATTCGTGTCACGTCTCTAAATCATAATCAACTCTCTTCTGAAGTTTTTCGTCGGATGATCCAATGCGTCTGGTACACTAGTGGTTACACAGACAGCCATTCAGGATCTTCCAAGACTGTGACCGAAGTGTGTTTCTCGTTTGACGTTACAATATCTGCTACATCTTCCTGTAATGCAGCTCCTTTCATCTGTTGCAGCTGGTGTGACAAACCGCTCTGTTTCAACCACTTTATCCTGGACTATCACTTTCGTTGATTATCTTCAGTCAGACTTGTGTAGTTTGAAATGATATCAAAAATAAAATGAAAAGATTTGAGTACTTCTCGGACTGATGAACAACAGATGGAAGTGTTATTGATAAGATTTAAAGTAACTTTTAGCTCAGAACAGATCGGATGAGCAGTGTACGAAACTGAGAAAAATTTCATCCTCTAATACTCTACTATTTTTCAGAAAGCAATCATTTATCATTTCATTGCCTCTTCATATATATATGTTGGAAATTCGATATCTCACGAATAAAGGCGCGAGGGAATGAATTCTTTTTAGGTTTTTCATACCTTATCGAGATCTACTTATGGCCAAATAATGGGTTCTAAAACGCTTGAACATGTAAATATGCTCCTTCATAAGAGACTATCTGACACATTAAGAAAAATGCTTCACTCATTAGCTTTTGAAGAATGTTTGTGTCATCCGTATAGGTTGTTTGTGCCATTTAGAAACGCTTAACCGAGTATATTTCGTAGTGTTGGTAATAATAATGAGACGGTATTTTGGAAAGCATAAAAAAGTCAATTGATAAGCTTTTTTATCTGAGTCAATCTTTCTCCCCCTCATAAAAAAATGCTTACCTTCCTAAAGAAACCGAGTATAAAAATAAACATCTAATGCTCTGCCACTCCGTCTTGTTTATGCTTTCTCTTTTCTCTATAGTCTCGACGTTTAGCATCGTGCCTAACGAGATAATAGTGACAGTGTTCGAGTACCTTAAGCCAGTCGATATTCTTTGGTCATTTTCTAATCTCAACCGCCAATTTACTTCTTTGGTTCAAAAATACAAACAAAATGTGAATTTATGTCATCTCACCGATAAAGATATCAAACAAGTTTTGTCACTGGTTCGCGAAGACGTTGTTTCATTGAAAGTTGATCGGTTTATTTTCGTTGGTGGCGAAAACAGTGATCTATTTAAACAGTTTCCTTCGCTACAACAACTATACATTTCAAAAATGAATTTGGCCTTCTCTCAACAGCTTCTTCCGTTTGCTCAATCATTTAAACGTTTAACAAAATTAGAATTAAAATGTCGTCAAGACATAATTATTTATCCTGGTACGAGATTAATTCACGATGAATTTATTCGTCATATTTTTCAGCGAGATTGTTCAGTGGAAGAATTTTCGATCGTTCCCATTTCTCAGCTATGTAATGATACGATTGCACTATTTTCAGCGTGTACTTTAACAAAATTAGAAGTTCATTTGACAGCTGGTCGTGATCTGTTTATTTTGTTTAGTTATCTACCACAAATACAAATTTTCAAATGTAGAATGAGCTATTTTATCACAAAAGAAGATATGCTAACATTAACTGTAGACATACCCTATCTAAAAGAATTTGGCTTAGAAAATACGCATTATACCACAGAATTTACAGCAATCGCTTCATTTCTCAGACAACGTTCATCGCTAGAAAGGTTATCATTGTATATAAAGTTGCATCGTGAATCACAATGTATAGATGGTAATCGTTTACATCAAGAACTCCTACAAGACTTAGTTCATCTCAAATTATTCCAGTTTAATTTTATCATTGACCATTATCGTCATGATCAATTGTTTAATATGACTGATGTTATTTCAACATTTCAGACTGACTTTTGGATGAAAGAACATGACTGGAAAGTAAGCATTTGTCTTAGAACAGAAAAGGTAAAATCAGGGACCTGACGCACCGCCCGCCAAATTCAGGTCTCTGGGTTAAATTGAAAAGACCTAAGTCTATACTTCATCCAGTTTTATACTTTCCATCTGAAACGTTTGCATTATATAATACACGAAATTCTCTTTGAAATGAGAAGTGCCACAACTCCCTCTCTTTCTACGAGTTTTGCTCGCGAAGTTATGAACATTATGACATAAAATATTCAGGTCAAACACATTTGATCGAATCCAGGACAATCCAGTGTCATGTATGACACAGGAAATCGTCTAAAACTATGTCGAATGTTCAACAATTTCCAGTAATATGAGAATGGATTCAATGAAATCCGTTGAGTTCCTGTGACAGACTCAACAGGCTCCAATCTTTAGACTGATTGATCTGAGTAACGTTCAAATGTTATTCATATTTCGTGATAGTGACAATGGTTGTTTTATGAAACATTGTGTTAAACTCATAAATACAATGCATTTATTTTTGCTGTGTCAGAAGAATCATCTAATATTTCCACACAGCAGTACAAAAATTCGATTACTAGATGAGCCAGCACTGCCGCTGCTTCGAATCAACCGGCAGTAACAAGATAGACCAGTTTCTACTAATTTTTTTTGTCTCATCACACTTGGACAGTTTTTACTAACCAGAATGATCCTCAAGACCCACAAAGGCTAGTTCTTCTTGATCCAGTTACTAGAAAGGACCACGCCGGATAAGCAACGAAATCTGCCACTCTTCCTACACGAAAACGACTCATATATTCCAATAGATTACATGACG